AAAAATCCCGATTTTCGACTAAGAAAAAATATCGTAGTATGCCCTAAAACTTTAATGAACATTTCAAATTCTGTCCCAAGGTGGACCTTTTAGTACTTGACATTTCAAAAAAAAAATTATTAAAATTGGTTCACAACTTCAAATTTTAGGACCACCGACAGACTGCTTCCGAATATTGACTCCCCTTCAATTTTGAAGTAATGAACCATCTGAGCATACCGAACAAACAAATTTTTTTGTTACAAGTCTTTTACAGAAAGTTCACCTTAGAGTCAGTAAGGTTGGTTGTTGTTTCATCATCATTCATTTGCCACACGTACCTACAAAATCGTAGATTCTACATGGGAGGCAAAGGTTTGATACTTTCACTGGAACTTGGGCATTTTGTAAAATTTTTTCGCAAATATATGTCGTGGAGTTGCTCCACGACTTTTTCTGCAGTTCCGACTATCCTACCATATCAATTTCAGACAGAACTGAAAATCGTTTTGAATACTCAGATGATTCATTTTATCTCAACTGCCCCAATCTATTCTGGTCACTCCCATATTCATTTCAATTTAAAAGCAACCGGTAGACAGCTATCTCAGCCTGTTTGGCATTGTCCTTAACAGTTCTCTTTGAAAATTGCTTTTTGAAAGTGTAATAAATATTAATCGAATTGTTTGTGAATCAAATGAGTAAAACAGACTACGATATCATCTCCATATCTGTACCAGAATAAAAAATGAAAAATTAATATTAAGCCTATTAGTATGGATTTTATTCTCTAGGTTGTCCGCTAAAAAGGGTGTTTTCATCAAACCCTCGCTACAAGAGTGAGAAATGTATTAAATTGAAAATAATTTCGAGCTAGGCAAATCTAATTATTCGTTTGAATATCAGATTATTGTGGTTTTTGTCTAAAAGGAGCTCAACTAATCCAAATATTTCTGTTGGCGGAATACTAAGAAATGAATTCTGGACATACCAAAAGAATTACTATTCGACTTAACTTATGTTGTACTTTTTCGATTTCGTTTGAAATTAACAGCAACGCATTTAAGAAATTTGTCCAAAAACGTTTTCGATTCAGTGTAGTCTCTCCATTCTCATATTGTATTTCATCAATCAAAATTGATTTATAAAATTTTTACACTGCATAATATATGTGTTATAAATCATGATACAGTGTTATTGATTTTATCATCAATTCTGCCATTAACGTTACACCTTTCAGATGTGTTTTATGTGATTTTTCATCTCATATTCATAACACAGAGTCATTAGTATCGTGACGACAGTCCAAGGTCAAACATTTGTTGTGTTGAATATACAAGACAATTTATTAGTTCATTGATCTTGATAAACGTCGATATGGTAATCAATAATCAATAATACAACTACAAACATATAAAATATTGTAACAGTTTATTAATTAACAATAACATGGAGAACATAATGATGATGGCATAACAATAATTTGAAATTCATGAAAACAAAAGTATCAGTGATGATATTGGTCTAAAATGACCTTCTTTACCAACTGTTCCGTAGGGTGGCCAGACTTCTCGACAACAGCATTGAATCCACTATGTTTCTCAACTGTATACTTGACAGTTCTGATGGTACCGTCAGCTTCATGAAGAGAGTACTCTCCGTGAGTGATGTCACCATCCCTGGATTCTTTGTGGGAGTGGATATCACCAGTGTGGTGGTCTTCTACCCCATAAGCGAATTCATATTTTGGGTGGGCCTGAAAATGGAAACAGAGATAAAGTAAACCTAATTTTGATCTGTGCAAGTTTTGGTTTATGCTAGGCAACAGCTGAAGTTGAATCGAGTAGTGTAAGTATTGAATGGGTATGAGATAGTTACACATAAAGACATTCCCATTGTTATTTCGAACCTGTTCTTCGATCATCTGATGGTTGTAACTAGAAAGCAATGAGTTGACAAACAAAATTACTAACATAATCGGGTGATAATAGTTAGGCTAGGTCCGAAGTCAGTGGATCAAAATTACTAACATAATCAGGTGATAACAGTTACGCTAGATCCGAAGTAAATGGATCTATTCGAACCTCCACCGCAACCCACAAGGGTTTGTTGTGGCTCACACATTTTTACATTCGACCAAATGAACTCAGCTTCTTAACGAAGCCGATTAGTTTGTATGGTGAGTGGTCTTTCAGGTCAGATGGTTAGAGTACGGCTCTTCCGAGCCCTGAAAACCTGATTCAGTCCCCAGCGGGGCAGACACAAAGTATGTGCTCTGCTGTTTCATCATTTTCGGAACAAAAGCGACACACAGTGTCCGAGTATCTGCATATGATGATTCAAATGACAGTGACTTGTAAGAAGGCATGTAAGACATCGTAGTTCATGCCTACTGTAGTCCAATAACTGTTTGGTATCAAGCTTCGAAGAAATTTTTTTTCCTGAGGGGAACGCTCCTGCTCTAAGTGTGGGAATCCATGAGTCTGTCACAGCCTACCCACTAAAACCCCTCTTCAGCATTCAAGTGGCTCTTTGTGGAACTGCTTTGGGGCATAACTTCAGAAAGGGGATGCTTATTGTTCTTAGTTTTTTTTCCTCATCGCTGTCTATTTTGTCTCACCCTGATGTCTCTCTCCTTCGTGTCAATTATGTATTTGGCCAGGGAGCTTATCTAAATCCAAATTTCTGCATCCTCCAGCATCTTGTTTATTATGTTGTCTGGAGTTAGTTGACCTATGATCGTTTCCACTTTTTGTCTTTTTTTGATGCCATCTCATACAGGTGAAGAATGTATGTTTGACGGTGTCACCTTCCTCGCAGTATATGCATGAGTCGCTATTGCTTACATGGAAGCGTTTGCGGTGAGTCTGGAAGCACCCGTGCCCTGTTGGTAGCTGTGTCAGGTGGTACGAGGTATCACCGTGCTTCCCCGAAAACCAGGGAGCTATATCCGAGACACCATTCCCGCCATCTTTCGAGCATAGTCGTGTTAGCGTTGGTCTTCTCAGTTGACCTCTCTTCCATTCTTTGTCTAGCCCATATGTAGATGGGGGGAATCCGTGCTACTACTAATAGTGCTCTAGTGGATGCGGTTCTGTATGCTCCAGTTATATAGATAACCGTCCAACGTTGAATGCTTAACAAGACTTTTCAGTTGGCCTCTCTCTGTAGAGCTTTGTACCAGATTGGTGCTGCATAGAGCATAATTGAATGCACCACTGAGCACAGGATTTTTCTTGTGGCCTCTCTCGGACCTCTAGCTTTGGGCATCAGCCTTCCTATCGCCGATAGTGCTTGATCAGCTTTTTCTGCTGTTCTCCTTATATGAGCCCACATGGTCATGTTTTTATCCAACAGCATACCTAGATATCCCACCTCTTCCTGGCTCTCCACCACGGTATCCTCAATTTCCAGGCTGATGGTCGTGATTTTTCTTCCTGGTACCAAGAGAACGGCTTCCGTTTTCTGTGGGGCTAGTCTCAATCGCTTATGATGGAGCCATTCTGCAATGTTTTGTAGAGTCTGATTTGCTATCATTTGCAGGTTTTCCTTCGTTTTGGCTGTAACTACAATCCCCACATCATCGGCAAAGCCTACAGGCCTGACTCCATCCGGGGTTAGGATACTGAAGATGCTGTCATAGTAGGTTCCATAGGTAAAGGTTCCATAGAGTAGGTCCTAATACGGATCCCTGAGGAATTTCACAGGTAACTTCCATTTTTGTTTCCACTCCTATCATTAGCCATCTCTCTTCGAGAGATTAACATTTTAACGAGGTACGGGGTGATCTTTCTCCTGTGCAGCTCCTCCAGAATTCCGTTCCACGGTGCTGTGTTGAATGCGTTCTGCACATCGATGGTTATAAGAGTGCACAGCTTCCTCTTATGGTATAGACCGTCTCTGGCTTTCTCCGCTGTTTCCGTTACCCTCTTCAGTGCGTCCCTTGTAGATCGTCCCTCTCGGAAGCCAAACTGTTCATCTGATAGCCCGCCTGTTCTCTCTATTTCTATCTTCAGTCTTCCCAATAGCATTTTTTGTAGCAGCTTTTCCAGGACATTCAACACACATATGGGTCGGAACGCCTTATTTGTGCTTTCTGCTTTACTTTCTTTCTCGATTAGTACCAGCCTCGCGGTTTTCCATTCCTTCGGAAAACTACCCTCCATCAGTGCTGCGTTTATAGTCTCCAGCACTTCATCCGGGTACTTTTGCGCTGCTGCTCTGACTACTTCTGCTGTCAGACCGTCCGTACCAGGAGCCTTCTTCACCTTGATCTTCTTTACTGCTGTCAGCAATTCCTCTATACTGAATTTAGGGACTTCATTTTGGAGCACTATGGGTTTTTTCCATTCTGTTACTGAGTGCTCTGGGAAAAGGGTTTTGACAATTTCTCTCTGTACATTGTCTGTCATCGTTATCGTTTGTGGGGTTCTGATTTTTTACGTGACTATCTGGTATCCTTTTCCCCATCTATCTGCATCTACTTCATTCTAGAGCACCTTCCACTCGAAGGAGTGAAACAATCCTGGAAGATTGTGACAGGAGTCCATAAATCTTCCTGCCACCAGGTCTTCAATCTTTGTTTGGCAAAGCGATGCACATGACAGGTTCTGGTCCGATGAAACTACTTCGAGCACCCTCCTCTGCAAAGGAGGCCAGGCCAGTATGGCCAGAAATCTGGACCAGAGACAATCTGCAGACCAGAGACAATCTGTTGAGTCTTCCTATCGGGAAGAAGAATATTTTTATTGACTAGTGTATGAGGTTGGATTCTCCCAATCTCTCCGCAGACAATTCAATAGCGTAAATTTCCACTTGAAATACAGTTGCATAGGTTGCATACAGGTTAATATCTCTGTCCTGGCTCTGCGACTAAAATCACCTGCACCAGAACCGGAAGGTGTTTTTGATCCATTTGTGAACCAACAACTGACTGCTCTCAATATTTCCTTCTCCTGGAGGATCCAGTTCTCTCTACTCGGGAACAGTTCGTATTAGATAGTTGGAGGCATAAAGTCAGATGCCATTTCCAAAATGCTGTGGCTTCCAGTGTCACTCTGCATCAAATTGGTTTGTGCAATTGGCAATGTGCACAAGTCTATATGCAGGCCATCTATACTCTCTCTCCAGAAAAATGTGGAAAGCAGGTATGATAATAGTACTCCTCCATTCCGAATATTTTATCTAAAGAAAGAGTGACTCAAATTAGCAAATGAGTTGATCTGTTGCAGATTTGTCTACGTCTATTCGAAGATATATGATAGAACTGACCGATACTTGGATGGATAAAAATCCATTTTAACGTATTCAAAAAAATACTTCAATGTAGCATTGAAGAAATGTTACTGATAATAGTAATACTGTGAGATTTTCACATAGAATTTTATGAAATAGCGACACGTGTTGGCTTCCCATTTGTATACTGGGGGACTTTTTCGGTCCACCATCTTTGGAATAACATTTGATATAATCTGACGCTTTCGTGCTGATGAACATTTCAATTGAGTCGTATGAATCTTAAAACAAATTAGGTTTTTACGGAATATCCTTTTCACTCACCTTAAGTTTAGAACAACCAATTCTACATTAATACGGATTGTTTTCAATCAATTCACCTGTAAACCAAGATGAATCGAATGTTGATTGAAAATACTAATGCAAATGGAGAAGTTTTACTGGACAACTGAAAAGTTTGGAAGTGATATGTTCGAAAAAGTTATGCTGAATATGAAAAATGGAATCAACAGGTAGAAAACAACAATTTCTTTTTCAACAAGGGTGAAAAATCGTAATTTTGTTTCTCATCGCAGGAGAATACGTATATTTGAATTTTTTTACTTTTTATTTTTAGTTTTTGTTCAATTGTTCTATTTTTACTTGTATTTCATTTCAGTGTTATTTCATTTAAGGTTTTTTGCCTAATACAATTGTTATTTTCAGCTATTCTTTTTTAATTCTTTTTTTTAATTAGTTTTTTCAGGGATTTCAAACCATTTTATAAAATATCAGACAATAGGTGTCCAAACTAATGAAATTCATCATGACACATTGTAAATCATCTTCAAACAAACAAGGAATTGATAACCTCTCATAGGTTAGATTCAAGTTTTGAATATGATACCTCAAATATACCAAACCAAGTATCTTTGAGTATTTATTATACATTTAACAAATTCTGTCAATAGGGGATTTATGTTGATTGACATGAAAAGTAATTTGTCGCGGACGAATATTTGGCAGCGGAACATAAAAACAGATTTGACTAGTGACCTTTCCATTCAAAAATTTTCTTTGAAATAGTATTCTCTTTATAATTCTTCTATTTTCTAGTAATTCTGTCTGGAATTCATCGCTAATTGGTCCATACGACATAAAACTGTGATGTTTCTGAACATTTTGAAATTTTCAGCATATAGCAAGCAGTCCAATAACACTTTTTTCAGGAGGTCATTGATGAAAATTAAGAAAAGCAATGGGCCTAGGTTGGACCCTTGGAGTCCATGCTATATTCTTTTCTTCAAATATGAGACAAAAAGGTTATTGGATGGTTACTGAGTCCGTAATATTTCAATTTTGCTACTGCAGAACCAGTGAAGACACATTAAAAATACTGATTTGATTCTACATTGAGCTGAAATATTTGTGACAAAACTTTACTTTCTCAGAAACGAAGACATATTCGAAGGCATCAGATGTAGGAAAGTTGAATAATGAATACTCACATATTCTTCTTCGTGTCCTTTGGAAAAAGTCGTTTGGGCAACGATGTTAGCAGAATAACTATCAGCAGGAACCCCATGTACAGACTGCTGAGAGTGATGTGTTGAAGATGGAGTTTGCTGATGAGCAGATGACGAAATTTGTGGAGCTGAATACAGAGATGCATGAGAAGAACCACTATATGATGGTACTGTGTGTAGTGGAGCAGAGTACTGGGTAGGCACTTTTACTGAAGCTGGGTCAGAATGAATATGGTGCACAGTGTTGTGATTATCATTGAATGATGCAAACGATGTAGCTGATTGATAAGACTGCTCAACTCCAACTGTAATCGCTACAACTGACGTCAATACTATAATAATCTGAAAATAAGAAGAGTGAGTTAATCATTTCTGAATGAAACAATCCCAGTGTGTCTGATTCATTCAACCCCTTGATATTGAAAATACTTACTTTGTTGTACATTTTTGTCTGTTAGTGATAACTTGTCAAAGACCAAACTAGACTGATTGAGAAACTGTCACCACCACCTTTTTATAGGTGATATCTCATATTTGAGACTGATTTTAACCAATATTAGCCCCCGAAAACTTGGTAATTATCTAATACTCATTCTTATATAACTCATTAGAATGACATATTAACAAGCAATTATTTAAATTCGTGGTACAGTTATGCTCAAATAATTATGTAAAAATTGTAGGTTGGAATGTGTCATTTGAATTTTGTTTTCGTCAGAGTCGATATTTTTCACTTGGGACTAAACCAGGTGTTTTTCAAGTAACGCCAAGAAATGTATAAAGAACAAAATATGTTCTCTCAGTTCTGATATACAAAGAGCGTCAAATGAATGAGATATTTGAGAAGATTTCAAAGATGATGGACAACTTTATAAAAATATGACATAACTGACCAATACTTGACGAGAATACATTATAACGTATCCAAAACACGTACTTTGGTATGTGATTTCCACTTGAAAGTTCACAAAATCACGACACGTGTTTTGCTATACGATATCATCCTCAGGCGTCACAGTACGCATACTCGTTTATATAAAATTTCAAGTTGAAATCTCAGAATGGATTTTTGAAAAGATATTTTTGTAACTGTATCGGTACTACACCATAGTACCAATGGAGATAGAGGAGTTGCTGAAGTCCCCCATGGAGGAACTACAAGCTATAAATTCTCTACTAGCAAAACTGAAAGATCTTGAGGTAGAAATCGCTATAAATTCGAGATCCGATCGAATTCGAAGCTTTGTGACGAACACGAGCAAAACTGTTTTTATCGTTTCTCATCATGATGATGAATAACTTTATTAGTCCTAAATATATTCAGCCTTTCTGTCCAGAATTAGAATTTGGTTTTGATAAACCGGAGATTTTTCTTTGTATAATACTCTCAACAAAATTCTTGTACAAATACTCACCAGATTCAATGAATCCTACGAAGAACCATAAAAACATTTTTTATCTCAATGAATGGAATGCGTGAACGTGAAAAATGCTTTCACTCTTATTTCTCTGCTTTCACTGTTTTTTCTCTGTTGGTATTTGTACGATGGACCCTGCTGGTTATATAACTTTTTTCAAGACCAATTGCCCAAACACCAAACTGATATTTTTGCACTCGACGCGCGTTTCGCCAACAAAGTTAGCATCCTCAGGAGAAGAAAATTGATACCTAGTCTAGTCTGGTTAATCCTTATATACTAAAATTTGTTACCTGAGGTTGTATACCTGAAGTCCAATATGGAATTTCTCGGTAATTAACTACCTGCAAGTTCTTAGTCATTATTATCTTCCTAACAGAAGATCAAAAAGCGGCCTAAACGGGATGGGTCCCTTATCGCCATTCATGCTGTTCTTACATTTTGCTATTTCTAGACTCTCACATGCATCGAGTAGCCTGGTGTCATGCACATGCTTTATCAGTTTCAGATTGTTTTCACCAATTATGTGGTCCTTGTCTAGACACTGGATTTTTCTATCCTTCCGTATTTTATGTGTGCACAATGCTCCTTGAAGCGGGTTTTAATTGCTCGTCGGCTCTGGCCGATGTATTTGCTGTTGAAATCTTGACAACTGATTTCGTAAATCCCCGACCTTTCGGATTATCAAGAAGCTGTTGCAATTATTAAGAAGTTTTATATGCAACTTTCATGTTTACTTTATCGAATATCTGTTGAAGCCCTCTCGTGTATTGGGGTACATATGGGATTACTATAAACTTGTTATCACTCTCCTCATTTTGAAAAGTCGAAGATTCACGAAGTGCTTCCCTAAACTTGCATTTTCTAATTATCTTGTCAACTATATCTGGCTTAAAACCGTTTGCTTCAGCTACATACCTAATCACTCTCTTTTCATTGTCGTACTTTAAAGGAAAAGTTATTAACCTGTGTACCAGAATTGCCAGTGCCGCCATTTTGTGTTGTTGACAATGATTCGAGTCATTGGGAATGCATCTGAAAGTGCCCGTGTCTTTCCTGTAAATATCAAATTCTATTTCGTTCTGTTCGTTCCTTATGACCAATACATCTAAAAACGGCAACTTTCGTTCTTTTTCTACTTCATATGTGAATTTTATACTCTTACACCTGTTGTTTAGTGCTGAAAGGACATTCTCAATTGTGGTTATCCTTGTATCAACTACATACAAGGGACATACCTGATCCAGTCCCTAGAGAAATAACTGAGTTCTTTCCCAGCTTCCGTCTCAAACCTACCCATGAATAGGTTCGCTATAAATGGAGCCAATGGGTTACCCATAGCCGTTCCTTCACGCTGTTCATAATATGAGCCATTATATTGAAAACAATTTTGATCCATGCGAAGCTTGGTGAGTTGAATGTATTCAACAGCTTCATTTGCTGTTGAATACAAACACTCTAGTGATTGTGATATTAGGACGCTTGGAAATACGGAACTCACATCGAACGACACCAATAATTCGCCTTCTCCTGATTTAATATCTTTTAGTTTCTCTATGAATTCTTGTGAGTTTTTAACACTCGCATCGGTTCGGCCGATCGGGAGATTTTCAAATTCTTTTGTCAACCATTCAGCGATATTATACGAAGGCGAATTAATTGATGAGACTATTGGTCGCATCGATTTTCCAGGTTTGTGTATTTTTGGTAAACAATATATCTTTGGTACTGTGGGATTTGAAAGTTGTAGCCTCTTGTTTAAAATCGGTGTGATCAGTGTCTTGCATTTTTTCAATGTGGCTTTTACGTTAGCGGTCATCTTGGATGATGGATTTCGTGGTAATTTCTGATATGGACCATTTTAAAATAAGCTGTCGACTCTCTCAAAATAATCTTCTCCATCCCAAATCACCAGTTTGTTTCCTTTGTCCGCTTTTAAATAAAAACAGTCCTTTTCTTTCAATCTTTTCATGATTTTCTCTTCTTTTCTCGATGAAATGTGTGGCTCTTTGCTCATATTTTTGGAAATTTGTTGTTTACATGCTTCGCGAACAAATCCTTTTGAAGTTTCCAGTAGTTGCTGAATAGAACTTTCGATACGTACGACTGCTTCTTCCAAATCCTTTTTGGGAGATCTGGCGCAGTATTTGAAACCTATATTCAATAATTCAATTCACATATGAAGTAGAAAAAGAACGAAAGTTGCCGTTTATAGATGTATTGGTCATAAGGAACGAACAGAACGCAATAGAATTTGACATTTACAGGAAAGACACGGGCACTTTCAGATACATTACCAATGACTCGAATCATTGTTCACAACACAAAATGGCGGCACTGCAATTTCTGGAACACAGGTTAATAACTTTTCCTTTAAAGAAAGATAAGTACGACAATGAAAAGAGAATGATTTGGTATGCAGCTGAAGCAAATGGTTTTAACCCAGATATAGTTGACAAGTCAATTAGAAAATGCAAGTTTAGGAAAGCACTTCGTAAATCTTCGACTTTTCAAAAAAAAGAGAGTAATAACAAGTTTATAATAATCCCATATGAACCCCAATACACGAAAGGGCTTCAACAGATATTCGATAAAGTAAACATGAAAGTTGCATATTAGAAAACTTCTTATAAATTGCAACAGCTTCTTGGTAATCCAAAAGATAGACTAGAAAACACAGAATAGACGAATAGACCCACTCTCTTTGGACCTAACCTAACTAAACCTATTTTTCTGTTAGAAAAATGAAATGTGTGTTAGTTCTTAACACCATTTCAGTGTTTGAAGATCACATTCTTGTCAACTGTTGCTATCAATCGGAGTAATTGACCACTGAAGCTGAAAAAGTGTTTTTATTGTGAATGACTAGACTAGATGACCCTAAAAGGGCTAGCAGACAAGCCCTATCAGTCTTGAACAGACAACGTGTAACCTCAGGGCTAGTACTAGAGTGTCACCAAGATTTAGCCAAAGCCTCGGTAGGTAGGAAAAAGGGCATGACAGAAGTAAATGTTCTCGCATTGCTGACTCTTTAGCCAAAGAAGCAGCTGGACTCAGAATTTTAGGACCCAGTGGCACCTACGGCCTGATGACTTAGACTAGCCAAATGTTACACACATGCTCAATCCCTAAAGAGATAGGATGGAATCAAAAGATGCAACCTTGCCAAGATCACCTTGGGTGACCCTGGGAAGCTGGCGCCGAAAGAATATCTGGCGATGACCGGGAAAAATCTACCCTCAACAATAGGATTTCTGACTGGCCACTGTCAACTAAGGAAACACCTAGTGGCCTAGTGCAGGATGTCCTCTATGCAGGATGTGTGAACAGAAAGATGAGACTATCAGGCATGTTCTATGCGAGTGCCCGGAGTTATTGTCAATAAAAGAGTGTGTTCGGCGAGTCTTGACCTACAACACTTGCCGATATAAAGAAGATATCTCTCAGTGACCTGTCCACCTTCCTGGAAAGGACAGGATAGACGATGCCTAGGAGAACAACTCTTCGGGAGGATGTACAATGGGTCACATGTGGCCTGAGTGCTGCTGGCTTACACTCACCCTCCCTACTCTACAGGTTCAGATACAGAGATAGCTGACTCTATTACTGATCCACTGATCTCTAGGAGTGACTCTCACATACTTTTCATTTTTCATTTCCATAAAACAAAGTGGTTTTTCATGTACGAACTCCTAATTCCTTTGTAATGATTGTCTCAGTCTTTCGGTAAATCATTTCGTGAAATTTCTTGTCTTGGGAAATCAAATTGACCCAATCGTTATGAATATTCTTCTGTTTAATACAATTGTGTACAAAAATACAAAATATGAACTATGTACAGCGGCTATTTGATAATTAGAATCTAGAATAATAGAAGACTCAATCGTTGTGTCCGTAGGCCACAGATTCTTGTCCAGATTTGTGTACAACAGCTCGGAAACCGTGTTGTGGATCAGAAGTGTATTCTACTGTACGGATAGACCCATCAGCTTCCACCAAGGAATATTGTCCTTTCACTACGTCTCCATCTCTGACTTCGTATTGAGTTTTTGCGTCACCGGTATGAGGGTCTTCTATCCCATATTTAAATTCATATTTCGGTGGATCCTGAAAAGACAGAGACACACGATATTAGCTTATCACAGTTCTTTATTCAATTTATCAACCCAACAGTGCA